TGTCAGCTGTAATACAGATACACCAGAAGAAAGGCATTATCAGCACATTTTCTGTGATGAATGTTGACAAGATCCTGGGATCTGTGAAAGCCACTACTTGTGCCCTGAACCATTGCCCATCCTGGCTGCTAAAATCATGTAAGGACCACACAAACTCTTTGCATCTATTATAAATTAGTCACTAACTCAGGGCACCTTCCCCAAGTGACTCAAAGAGGTGGTTATCCATCTGCTACTTAAAAAACCCCAAAACATTCCTATAGAAAAATGATGTGGTCAATTATCGCTCAGTCTCTAATTTATCTTTTCTAGGCAAAGTGACTGAAAGAGCAGTAGCAGACCAACCCCTGGTCTTCTTGGATAACTCATCCACTCTAGAGCGTATTCAGTCTAGCTTCAGGCTAGGCTTTGGGACAGAGACCGTCCTGCTAGCTTTAGTTGATGGTCTTCATCTGAGTGTAAACAAAGGCCATGCCTCTCTTTTGTTCTTATTGCATTTATCTGAAGCCTTTGTTGAGCTGTTGGAAGCAGTAGTACATATCTATCGCGAGACATGCCTTAAACTGGCTCAAATCATTTCTCACAGATCGGACTCAAACAGTTGCTACTGGAAATTAGTTGTCATCACTGTCAATGTTCCCTCTAAGGTGTGCAGTCTCGTGAGCAGAAATTTTACCCTGTGAGCCAAAAGCGGTCCTAGCGTTAAAACTGTGAGCGAGCCGACATTAAAAAATTATTAAAGTGTACAAACAACATATAAACTATTATCATTTGTATTACAAGCCATATATTTATATTAAACTTATTTATATTTATATGAAACATATTTGTATTACTTAACCTCCCAGGCTTAAGCGCACAGAGAGTCACTTTGCAAAGCACCAGAAGCCACCAGATCGCCTCTAGGAGGCTGCTGAGCCCGGCTCCCCCCCACCTTTCCCAACTAACTTTGCAGGCTTAAGGGCACAGAGAGTCACTTCGCAAAGCACCAGAAGCTACCAGATCACCTTTAGAAGGCTGCTGAGCCCGGCTCCCCCCACACCTTTTCCAACTAACATTGCAGGCTTAAGTGCACAGAGAGTCACTTCGCAAAGCACCAGAAGCTACCAGATCACCTTTAGAAGGCTGCTGAGCCCGGCTCCCCCCACACCTTTTCCAACTAACATTGCAGGCTTAAGTGCACAGAGAGTCACTTCGCAAAGCACCAGAAGCCACCAGATCGCCTCTAGCACACTGCTGAGCCCGGCTCCCCACCCCAAGACAAAACAAGCAACCAGGCAGCTCACCTCAGGAAGGGCAGAAGCTGGGCAACAGAGCAGTCCTCCTTCTGGGCCAGGGTATCTCCAGGAGCACAAGGCAGAGGACTGCCGGGAAGGGTAGCAGCGCCCCCTTTCACAGGGCAAGCAAACCTCAGCTGAGGAGAGGCGGAGCCAGCCCAGATTAGGAAACACAAAGCATACTGCTGTGTTTCTGTGCAAATGGACCCGTGCTGCATGGCCATTGGGAAGGGAACCTCTCACCCCTGCGCTGTGGTAACAATTGCTGCGCTGGCCAGGGGAAATCGGTGCGCCAGCACAGCTTGGCGCAGCTTAAAGGGAACCTAGATCGTTGTGGTATTTATCTTGTGCGGTTCCACAGGACACAGTTCTATCCCCCATGCCTTTCAATTTCTATGTAAATTTCTATGTATCAAATCATTCACAGTTTTGGAGTTGGTCATCACCAACATGCTGATGATACCCAGCTCTATATATCTTTATCCACATCTCCTGGTGATATGGTAGAAGACCTAAATAGCTGCCTGGCTGTTATGGTTAACTGGCTAAGAGTGAACAAACTGAAACAAATTAAACCCCGAAAAGACAGTTGAAGTCCATCAAAAGGGTGGGGGGAGAGAACAATGTCCTTCAAGAACCCCGTCTTTCCAGCCAGCATTACCTTTGGACATTGTTCTCTCCCCCCACCCTTTTGATGGACTTCAACTGGCTCTTGTTGACTCAGTTAAAAGCTTGGGCTTATACTGAATCCAACTTTATTACTGGAGAAGCAAGTTAATTCTTCTGCAAAAACTGGTTTCTATCAACTCAACCTAGCTGTAACATGGCCCCTAACCTTGATACAACTGATCTGGTCAACTAGATCCATGCCACATTAACATCGAGATTAGACTACTGTAATGCACTGTACATAAGTCTCCCCCCCAAATCAATTCGGAAACTCCAGCAGGTGCAGAATGCCACAGCTTCGCTACTGTTGGCGGCTAGATTGAGCGAGCACACATATCACTCCCATTCTGCAGACACTCCACTTATTACTGGGTTCCAATTTAAGGTATTACCTATTACAACAAATCCCAAAATGGCCTCCGTCCCTCTTATCTGCAGAAACATCTCTCCCCCGTGCTATAGCATGACAGCCTTGCTCATGTCAGCAGGGGATTCTGCAAGTGCTAACCTGCAAATGAGAGTCTGTGGGTGCCAACCTGCAAATAAATGAAATCAACAACTACCGATACACATGCTTTCTCTGTTGTGTCTCTCCCTTTATGGAATGGCCTGCCTGAGGAGGTCAGGAAGGCTCCCACTCTCCTGGCTTTCCACAATCTATGCAAAACAAAACTATTCAATTAAACTTTTCTGCACAGGTAATACAGCTGCACTGTACAAAATGGTTTACAGACTTACTTTGATAAACAATCAGGGACTGTGGTTTATACTGCTGTGCATAGCCTACTATTATGTAATTTTTGCACAGCTTAATACTTAATATTGTCATGTTAATACTTATGCTGTGTTTCAGTTCTTTCTGGTTAAGTCCGGACTTCTACAGTCCTAATGCATAGTTTATTGAACATTGCATTTTGCTGACTCCCTATGTGTAATCTGCCTTGTGTCCCTGTAAGGAAGAGGGGGACTATAAATAATGTAAATAAATAAAATGAAAGGTGAAGCCAGTTTCTCTTCTCAGTCTTAGAAACTCAGAGGAGTTATTCCTCTTGCATTTGCATGACTCAAATGTGAGGGGTTCATATTAGCATTAAGACTCCCATCTCCCGTTAGAACAATATGCTGTGGGCTTAAGTATTTTTATTTACTCTGCGTTCACACTGTTTCAGCAGATTATCCATTAACAGCAGAATACTATACCCTGCTTCAGGCAGTGGATCCAGCAGTTAAGCAGAGGTTGTACCTCCAAAGAGGTTGTATCCCCATTCATATATCTTTCAACTGAATCAGGAATGTCCATTCTTGAAGTTTAAAATATTAGCAGGGGTCAAACTGGATTTGAAGAATGGGCACTCAGACATGCCCCAATTTTCCCTTATCACTTGATCCCAAGCAACTAGGATGAAGGAATGGCTACTAAAATTTAGAGGCAGCATGAGGACCACAATCCAAGTGGTTGATCCCATCTGCTATTTCTGGTGTTCGTTTAAATACCTGAGTCTTTTGTTCCTTTTTCAAAAAGTCATGAACTTTCTACATTCCTCAGTGGTCATTTCCTGTCTTCTGCTACGAGCATGTTTTCACATTAACAGATGGAATAATACCACTCTGCCTTACAAGATAAGAACATGTATATGAAATCTGTTGCCAATTCCAAGATACTATATAAATAATAATTATGTTTCACTCTATGAAACCAGTGTAGCATGCAGATAATTTAGACCACATGCCCCAATAGGCTTCATTTAATGTGCCAAGGAAGTTTGGAAAGAGCAAAGATGGAACACAAATGAAAGAGAAGAAAATCCCCCACTTTGCCCTACTTCTCATTTTTACACTCAGTGAATCCCCCCCCTCATTTTTATCCTGCTCTTGCTCCAATAAAGGCAAAGCAGCAAATGTGGTTCTCCCTTCTTTTTATCCAGATAACTAACTACCTGTGAAGTAGATTAAGAGTGACTGGCTTCATGACAAAGATATCCACCCTACTTCAACACTTTAGCCATTACAGTGATCTTAAAACATAAAACTTAGAAAGTGCTATGTTTAACTTAAAACAAAACAAAAAATGGCGAGGGACATAGAACAGCAACAACAATAGCTCAAAAGGATTTTTTTTGCAGGCATTCAGTCCACCAAATACAGCTTGAGAGGGACAGTACCGTGTCCAATATTTACCCGATCTGCGTCTAGCTTTTTGACAGGATTCCTCAAAGTGGACATCCACAAAATAAGTGACACCCGGTGGAGCTCATGGTTAAGATCTATACAGGCAGCTTCTTAAGCCGCGCATAATTCTTGAAGCTGCCTTACACGTTCAGGACACGTTCCCACTTGCGAAAGTTTTCAGCCGCGCTGTTCGTGGGGTGTCCCCTGCTCTCTTCGGGTAAGACCGGAAAAGGCAACATCAAGCTTGGCTAAGGGTGCCTAAGGAGACCTCCCCCACCCACCCCGGCCCGGCCCACCGCCACAGACCCCCTAATAACTGGGGGGAAAGAGAAAACGTTGAGGGAGGCTGGCTGGCGGGACGGGAAAAGTCACCGTTCCCTCGCCAACGCACTCACCCGCCGTAAGTCAAAGCCACAGCCGCCCGGCCTCCTGTTCCAGCCGCGTTCTCGGACGTCACCGGAAACGCGACGCTGATGCATAAAGAAAAAGGACTAAAAGTCTCTCGTTCACGCATACACCGTCGCAGATTGTAGCGACACTTCCGGTCCAGAATTGAAATCGAGCTTTCCACGCACTAAACATCCGATACAACATTCTTCGCCATAGAAAACCGTGGGGAGTAACGTTTCGGGTTCCCCGTCGTGCTTAGTAACAGACAAAAGACAGAGCGCCGTAGGGTCTTCAGAAGAGAACGACTTCCCTGGGTGTCTAAGGTTCCTGCCCCGCATATGGTGCCATTCCAGTCATGTACTGATCTAATTTACCCTTTTCTAACTCTACGGGGTTCGCCCCCTATACAGGTGCTCTGTCGCCTCTTCTTTCCCACCCCGGCGCTAATTGGCGTGGAAAGAGGCGTGGCGAGCGCGTCATCAGGAAGGCGTCGAGTTTCAGGAGGTTCAAGCGAGTCCTAGTGTTGGCCTGTCCTCTAGAAGACGAGGAAAACAGCCTTGAAAGAAGCGGGCAAGATGGTGTGGGCTGGGCTTGCTTGAGTAGCTTCCCCGTGACGCGGTCAGTAAAACCTCTCGCCGCGCCTCGGTTCCTGCTTTGCTAGGGTTCCCTTGGATCACTTAAGGTATCTCTCCCCCTGCAGTCCAACCTGGAAAGGAAATAGAAAACGCCGAGGGGCATGGGTGTGGGTCGGCTTCGATCAAAAGAGTCTTCTGGTACCTTAAAAGGCTGAAGGAGGTTGTTTAAAGCCGTGTTGGTTTAAAAGTAATATCCAAGAACACAATCCGTGTACTAGTTTTTATTAGCAACAGCCCAATAGTACTTAATAGTATGCAAGCTTCTGAGCTCACCAGAACTCTTTATCAGTTCAGCTGTTTTTAAAAAGTGAGGGAAGGAGAAAAGCAAGCTTTTCAGGTCATTTTTCTTAAGATTGGCCATACTAGCATTTGATGTAGATACATCAGATTTATTATGGAAGAAGCTTTCCTGAGCCACAGCTTGCAGTGTCAGTGGCATTCATCACACATAAGTTGGTGAGTTTCAGGTTCTTCCCTCCTCCACCATTTTATCTTCAGGACAACCCTGTCAGGTGGTTAGGCTGTGAGAGATGGGTGCATGTGACTTGGACAAAAAAGGGGAAAAGGGGGAAAAACTGAACCTAAAACTTAGAATCCAGAACCTGACGAAGGTTGGTCAAATGCAAGAAAGGGGGCCAATATTAAAAATTTAATGAAGGAAATATATAAAAAATACATGTATTTATTAATCACAAATTTTAAAATTATATAAGGGCCCAATCACACGTTATGTATAAATAACAAGCGATAAAACACTAGGGCTGATAAATCTGACCTGACGCATTTCGGCCTAGGCCTCTACAAGAGCCACCAAGGTGGCTAACAATTTGAACCATATATGATATATGATAAAAATCACATTTAAAACCATTAAAATCAATCCCCCTAACACAGATCATTAGAACAATTAAAAGCAAGAGTTAAAATAGGCACAAAACATAATTAACATCAATTAAAACATTGGTTAGGAACAAAGAGGTACGTTAAGCTGGGAGTGTGTGACTGGCCCAAAATGACCCAGCAAGCTTCCATGCCGCAGAGTGGAGATTCAATCCCTGATCGCTGAGATCCTACTCTGACACCACTACACTAGTTTGCAGTTTATGTTGGTTTGAAAAAGAGATGAGTGTCGTACAAAGCTTAATTGGCATGCTAATGTGTGGCTGTTTTCATCTCCCTTTTTTTCTTTATTATGGTTTCTTTATTATTATTTCTTTATTATTTTACCTGTAAAGAGCATGCAGATATGGAAGATTCTAGAGTGCTTGACTGTTGCCTTTTCTTCTTCCTGTATAGCTTCTAGCATTATAATTGATATGTTAGGCAGGGGTGTTCTCAACAGTAAGGTGTCATGACAAAATGGATGCCTGGCTCTTTCAGACTGTGGTAATATATAGTTGTTCCATTAGCTAAAAGTTCAGGCTTTTTAAAAATAATCTTTCTCTTTTTCCCCCCTTATCTAGAAGAAAAATGAGTGGAGGGTTAGCACCAAGCAAAAGCACTGTTTATGTGTCCAATCTTCCCTTCTCATTGACAAATAATGACTTGTACAGGGTAAGTGTATGCTTTAAAATTACATTATTAAATGCTATCCAATTTCTCAGTTATATAATGTACACTGTAATATGCACATTAATGCATGTGTGAATTTCTAAAAAAACATGTTTGCATTTACAGTGCTTAACCTAGATAGCTGAAAATCTTTCTCCTTTCTTGCAGATTTTTTCCAAATATGGCAAAGTGGTTAAGTGAGTATAAATATGACTTTATTTTTACATACTGTAATATGCTCTGTAATAGTTTATATCCTGTCTTATGGGTATTTTTGTGTGTGTAACAGATCACAGTAACTGATACTTGTTTCTACTGCTGCTGTGATATACCTTGAAAAACTGATTGTAACTGGTGCAGAATATCACATCATACTTCTTCTCACAGTGGATCAAAAATTATATTAGTGCTCAAGTGTCTGCACTGGCTTCCTGTTGCATCTGAGAACAATCAAGGATGCTAGTTCCAACCAGTGTCTCTGGACTTGGAGTTTTGCAGAGCCAGTGTGGTGCAGTAATAAGAGTGTTAATCTGTGAAACCAGGGTGAAATACCCATTCTGTCATGAAGCATATGTTGCCTGGGTTTCATGTTGGCTCTCCAAGCTTCATATTGTTGCTTCCAGGAGTTACCTCCATCGTATGGGTGTACTCTTATTTAAGAACACTTCAGGCTCAATAGCAGGAGTTCTCAGTGTGGCACACATAGTTGCCATGGTGTCCAACCAATTCCTTTCCTGGCATTTGCCAAGTGCTTTTAGAAAGTGGGTGGGGCCAGGCGGGGCTTTTGCCCAGCAGGGCTTCTGATTGGTCATTGGAGATCTAATTGACTGTACAGGTTTTTAGAAAAGTTGCTTTGGCAGCAGCTGTCACTCAAACACAAAGATTTTCACTGTGTGACTGAAAATAAGCAGTGTGTATGCAAGAAAATGTTTTTTAAACATATGTTCATTTTAAATCCTGTTAAACAGCTTCTTCTAAAAATGTTGAAGAGTTGGTATTAGAGTTACGCATAACCTTGCTCCTTATTTTGTGGTTGGCTCTGGCTCCTGCAGCAGCCATTTTGTGATTACACCCACTACCCTGTCAGAATGCTAAAGGTGCCTGTAGTCTCAAAAAGGTCAGGGACCCCTGCTCAACAGAGTAAAACCAATCTCATCTATTTATATCAGAGTCTTTATTTTTTGTCTCCTTCACAACATTTTCTTTTGCCAAAAACCTAGGGCAATTTTTCTCTTTCTTTTTCAAATTGTAAGATACTGCAGGAAGTAGTTAAAATTGTTCCAGATGGTTAGGAGAAGTTGAGTGAATTTTTAGATAAGGAGATATCTTGTCCTTCAGAGTCATATGCAGGGCCGGCCCATCATTGACAAAATTTAGACTTTTGCCGAGGGTGCGGGCCCAACGAGGGAGTCGGCCCTCGATCCGCTGCGGGCTCCACAGCTGCAGGAAAACATGCCTCCTCCTCCCCCCGCGCCCTGGCCGGCCTCTGGTCCCCTCTGGCCCCGCCTCTCCGCGCCCCGGCCAAGCTGCGTGTCCTGCGGTCGCCCCCCTCTGTGCATGCTCAGAGGCTGGCCTCGGCCCGGGACCTGGTGGAGGAGGCAGCGGCGGAGGCTCCTCCCCTGCGCAGCAGCCATGCTGGCGGCCAAGGTGAGTGCGGCCAGGCTTCAGGGCAGTCGGGCTCCGTGGGGCCACCCTGCTCCGGTTTGCTTTGCAGGTGGGTTCGTGATCTCCACCAGGCTCGGGGGATTTTTGAGCACAACGCGGTGCTGCCACCCTACTCCGCTTGGCATTGCACGCAAGGCGAGCACGGAGCCGATCCGGTCCACCTTCCCGCTCCTCCTGGCCAGCCACTGCTCTCTAGCCTCTCCCAGGTGCCCTCCTTCTCCGTTGGTTCATGACCCGGGCAGTCTCTGCGGGGCCGGAGCAGCGGGAATGCCTTGGGAGCCACCTCAGAGCCCCTTCCACCGGAGCGTGGTGGTGATGGGCTTGCCCCCTGCGTTTCCGCGCGGCTTCTCTGCCCCGTGTTCAGTGCTGAAAGATGCGCCCAAGCAGGGCTGCTGGGAGGGAGGGACTGCTGGGAGGGAGGGATGGTCCCAGGTGGCTGCAGGGGTGTCAGAAGGGGGGGGCAGAAATTGGTGGGTGCACGGGGGGGGGCACCAGAAGGTATCCTCTCCTATAGTGCAAAAATACCTGGGGCCGGCCCTGGGCATATGTATACAAAAGAGGCAGAGATGTGTTTAAACAGGTTCTATAGTTCCAGCCAGTATTTCAATAAATAATTTGTAGACAGAGACATCAATACTGCTGGGTTCTCTGCAAACTGACATTGTTCCATCATATAATATGATAGAACAGCTGAATTGTTTCTAGCATGGTTAACTCAGGAAGGACATGAGATTCCAGCCTGGTTTTGAAAGTAGGGTCAAGGTAAAGCTTTTAGTAACAAAACACTTGTGAAATATTTGATGAGTAATTAAGAATCCTGTATATCAGTTTTTTAGCTTCTCAGTTGTTATTTATCAAGCTCTTTGCAGCTGCTCATTCTCTGCCTAGTGGCTGAGTATCAAGCAAGGGTTCATTTTACCAGTATTCTGATATAAGCACAGATTACTAGGAAACTTCACAATCCATAGGAAATGCTAGGCAAACCACGGGTATTTTTCAATATATAAAGTCTGGAAGAATGCCTCACAGGGTATGCTCTGTAGGTTAAATCTCATCTCTTTTTCCTGATGTTAGAGTGACAAAATCATACCGTTGCATTGTGCCATCAAATCATATAAACACATTGGATCTATTTCCTGTTGAAAATTAGAGGTTTCCTGGGAAACCGGGTGGTGGTTTTTAGTTTTGCAAAAGATGCAAAAAAAACCTGAAACAAATATTAAATGGGCTAGGGGGTCTGTCAAGCAGCATTAAGAGGAAGACGGTGAGTTCAGCATCCACATTTTAATGCAGACAGGAGTGGATTTTTTATTATTGTAATGTTATCAGCAAGAGTGTGGAAAGATCCCGTTGCATTGTGAATAGATAACAGTGTATATGATGGCAATCTTTTCTATTACAGTGTTGAGTCAGCTATTTTGCATGCAAATGTCCAACTCACTTCAGAAATGGCTGTCATGCTTAATTTCAGTAGAAACTAGTCTGTAAGCTGTATTCAGTAGTAGTTATTCAGTACTCTTTTTCTCTTCTAATCAGATTGTGGCTTCTAGAGACCTTTTTGAGTTGTACTTCTTTTGGAAGCCTCACTATTTCTCCATGATGTAATGAAGACTGAATTAGACTCTGTTTTTCATAATACATGAACTGTATTTTTCCCTTTTGTCAGTAGAACTGGTGGTCTCCCTCAGAACATAAAGAGTTCTTTCATAAAGATAACATTTTCCCCATACTTGCCCTTACCTTTCAGAGTTACAATTATGAAGGACAAAGACACACGGAAAAGTAAAGGAGTTGCATTTATTTTATTCTTGGATAAAGAATCGGCACAGAACTGTTCTCGGGCACTTAACAATAAGCAAGTAAGTATCCCTAGTTTGTTCAAAGAAAGCTTTCAGGACAGCCCCGTAGCTAACAACTTTTTGCTTTGGGCCAATGTTTTTCTCAGGGGGCCTACCATTATATGTCTGTGTGGTACTGCCATGCCATGCTCATACTTCTAAATAACAACTAAATAATAAATACAAGTGGTTTATTGCACAAAAATATGCCCCCAATCCACCTCCATCCTCACACAAACCAAAATTTAAGATTCGGTTTTATTAGTTTTAACCATTATGGGTTTATGGCATTTATAATCAGTCTTAAACATTTTGCTTCTATTTTAATGTGATGATTCCACCCCCAAAACACATCTGCTACCCCCAGGGCCTGTCATTCCAGGGCCTGTCATTCCAGTCCCAGAACACTCCTGATATCCCCAGGGGCTGTCATTCCACTCTAGGGGCTGTCATTCCAGTCCCAGAGCAGAGTATTTGGGACCAGAGACCTTAATGGAAAATCCATTCCTCATTTTCTTTGCAACTCTTCTTGAGTTGTAATGTATTTCAATGGAGCCCATGCAAGTCAATTTTGTCTCCCATTATTTCCAGTGGGCCTTCAAGTCTCTCCCATTGTTTCCAATGGGCAATCATCACCTTCCTTTTAGTACATCCCCCACATCATGAGCCCCTCTGATCTCTACCTGAACTTGGAGTCCTGCAGGCTGCACAATGGTGGAGGGAGGAATGGATGCTGGAAATACAGCAGCGCAAAAATGAGGGGGTAACAACAAACCCCAGCCAGCCCGGCCCCACGGAAGATGATCAGGCTCAGCAAAGGAGATTTCCTCCAAGACTGCTGAGCTGCTGAGTTGCTGAAGGAGGAGCTGCCAGGGTCTGATTGGCCAATGGAGGAAGAGGAGGAGGAGGAGCTATGGCTCGAGGCTGTGTAGGAGGACAAGCAGAAGGCTCAGTTCCTCATGCTCTGCTGCTGCTGCAGTTTGCCTGGAGTTGGAGGAAGTGGTGGGGTGGCTGGCTTAAACTTGTATTTGGCGGGTTCTTTGCTTAGAGCCCGCCCACTATTCCAAATAAGGCAGCCAATGCCGAGCCTGAGGTCGGTCGGGGCGAGAACTAGCTCCGCTCCTCTTTCTGTTTTCCTGATCACAGATGAGGTCAAACAGGGATATGCCGGCTCAGATCGATCAGGGGGTGAGGGGGCCGGGGGGAGGGAGGGGGAGCTGATGATTGGGGGAGGGGCCTGCAAAAACCATGGGGGAGCCAGGCCCTGTGGTCCCCTTGATAGCTACGGGCCTGTTTCAGGACATTTAGAAATTTATGACTGTATCTTTCCTCTCATTTGATTTAGCTCTTTGGTAGAGTAATCAAAGCAAGTATTGCTATTGACAATGGAAGAGCTGCAGAATTCATCCGCAGGCGAAATTACTATGACAAATCAAAATGTTATGAATGTGGGGTAAGTAGTTCTACACTGATTCCAGCAGAAATTGTTAATGTTGGGTGCTCTTACCCATAATCTGGTCCAATCCCAAAGCATTTCTTTACATTCTAGAAACTTTATAGATAATTGTAAGAATTATTGTTCAGCATTAATCATAGTTCTGAAAAGTCTGTGGTAGTATTCCTGCAAGTAACAGCAGTCCTATTTAATTGCACAGTCATTATTCTGATTTTAGTCCATTTGGGAAATTCAGTAATTGGGTGGAAATACTTTGGTTTCTTTTCCCCCCACAGTGGTTATAAAAATTAACTTGCTTTTCAGTCTGGTCTCCTTTTGGGTACATTCTACTCTTACAAATGCTATATCGTGCCTTTTGATGAACAAGTAACAGTGACACTGCACCTCTGTTACAATAGGCAGAGTTTGCAAGTGTTTGAGTTCTCCAGAATTCTGTATGTTACTTTTGGGAAGGAGAGAAAATAAGTTATTTCAAGATATGGTAAAAATGCCAAGTCTTTAACCTGTAATCCTAAAATAGAATACAGGATGTGTTTCAGACTAAATTGGATTAGGTAATGCGCATTAAAACATGTTTTATTCCCAGCATCAAAATGAAGAGAAAAATTGCATTCCATTTGTGAATATAAAAGGCACCAGTTAATTCACAGGTCCCATCACCGTATGAGTTAGGGTTGCCAAATCAGGCCGATTTCCGCGGCCCGATTTCTGCCGCAGGGGAATTCCGGGCCGGGGGGAACCCCACCCCCCAAGCTGCGTCACCGGAGGTGACGCAGCCACGTTGCCGACGTTGGGGGCGTGGCTGAGCTCGTCGGAGGGGAAAACCATATGGTTTTCCCCTCCGACGAGCTCAGCCATGCCCCCAACGTCAGCACGTCGCCTGACGTGCTGCCGGCGCACACGCACGTCCGCGCAACTCCCGGACCGCGGCGACGCTCCCCCGCCGCGGGGGGAAGAAGATTTGGCAACCCTAGTATGAGTGCTTCCAAAATTTTGAGAATAAGTAATGGGCATCAGCCAAAATGACTACCATGGGGAGGATGCCAACCACAAAATGGCAGAGCCAATGACAAAATACTGGGAAGTTCTGAACTAAGAACTAAGCACTGCCACTTCCTGGAAAGTCAGAGGAAATCTGGAAACGAAGATGGCGGGCTGGTAGTGAGCTCGGGTCCTCGAGCTCCTCCGTTTTTTAACTTAATTTTAAGGTTTCAGAGAGGGTCCTTCCACCCCTGCCTAATATGTGGGAGAGAACATCACATTGGAAACTTTGCAGCGTCGGGAGACACCAGTGACACAGGAATTGCGGTAGAAGCCACAGCCGCTTTTATTTTGGCTTAATGGCCTGTTCCTAGCGGCTCCGCATGTGGGAACCACGGTCTGGCATAACAGCGGCTCGGGGAATCGATCTGCCGGCGGCCGCAAGGTGCGCCTGACTGTGGGGTTGGGAGGAGCAGTAGTCTACATTGAATGCCCGCCTTCCCACCCATGGAACGGCCTAGGAGTACTCATACGGCCGCTGAATTGAGGGCGCCATGGTGCAGCTTGGGGCTCACTTGGACAGCGTGTGGGTGTTTCAGGGGCCTCTCAGGGCCGGACCTACCTTCACGGACTGTGAGGCCGCTGCCGCGCCGAGTCTCGCTGCGCCGCGCTTTATGCATGGTTGCCATCGTGGCCTGGGCAGCAGCGGGAGAACAGGAGGAGGCAGCAAGGAGTTGGCGGCTGGTGACTGGAGGATCGTTGGGCTGGAGTTTGCTCTGCAGCCCGGGCGCCGGTCGGGAGGGCCTGCGGGAAGAGAGTTGTGTGGAGCCCGGGATCATCAGCTTGCCAGAGCACTTGGCCGGGCAGAGTCATCTGGGCGAAGTTGCTGTCTCCACACGATCCTCGGGGATGACCAGCAAGAACGCGGATCACCGGAGCTTTTGAGACACAACCTGGGAGATCTGTGGGGCTGGGTTCGGAGACGCAGATTAGGAACTCTGAGGGGCCAAAACAACAGTGGCCCCCTAGTGGTGATCGGACGACCTACGAGTCGAAGGACATCGGTGACCTCTAGTGGTGGCTGGGCGAACTCTCCAATCATCGGCAAGGTAGCTGTTTAAGATATAACAATGCCTAGCAGTAGGGGGGAATGAGTGTTCTGTTGTGAGTGGATGATGTCTGGCTGTTAGTGAGTGAATGCTGGGTGGATGTGTTGTCTGACTGGGAGAACTGGGGATAGGGTTATTTAATTGTATTAATTGTTGTAACTTTGTTAAATGAAATGCTTGCAAATGAGTTCTGCTGAGGTTGGATTTCACAGAGAACAAGCGCTTTTCACAGTACACTAAAAAAGTAAAGTTTGTAAATGGGGTTTGTCTGCTCCTGCTGA